AGGCGCCAGTGAGCTGGGATATATGTATGTATGATATATATATATATATATATATATATATATATATATATATATATATATAGTGTGTGTGTGTGTGTGTGTGATGTACATACATGTTCACATGCCTGTGTATGTATGCACACGTGGAGACTAGAAGTCAATGTGGGATGTCGCCATCACTTGCTCTCCACCTTTCTTTTTGAGACAGGGTCTCTAGCTGAATCTAGAGCTCACTAACCAGTTAGTGAGTTCAGCTGCAGATTCTTCCCATCTCTCTCCCTCCACCTCTCCCCAGCACTAGGACTGCATGGATCTGTGCTTGGCTTTTATGTGGGTTCTGGGGATCTGCACTCAGGGCCTCCTGCTTGCCAAGCAGGCACTTGACTGATGGAGCTCCCTGCCCAGATTCCTCTCTGAATAGTTAAGATGAATGGGAAGTGTCACTGTCCAAGTTGACTCTGACTCATTGTTATGTGCCAGCCCTGAATTCTTACATCCAGGTACACAGGCAAGCACATGCACCCACGTTCTTGTCGTCCTCTCTCCCTCTCTCCCTCTCTCCCTCTCTCCCTCTCTCCTTCTCTCCATCAAAAGGCTGTCTCCCAGGCTACAGAAACCTCTGCTTTGGTGGTAACTCAGGCATATAGAAAATGACCACAACTGCCACAATCACCAACTTTCGAAAGAATGATAATGTAATTCAGAAGACCCTTAACTCCAAAGTGACCCCGAACACCATCTTGTTGTGCCTTGGGGTCATTCGTAGGGATATGATATAATACAAAATGTTCCACTTGATAGAAGGCCAGATAAAGCAGCTTTTATCGGATTTCATTTTCTACAAGGAAATGAGCTGACATCTAAGACGCAATCCTAATAGCCAGGCATCAGTTCCCGACGTTGTCAAGATGCCATCTCTGCTCAGAAGCTGCTATCTTTCAAGGCAGAGACTGCTCCACTCTGCATCCCTGCTGCCTGGGCTCCAAAGCCACTGCATCGGCGTGTGTGAGTCTAACACTGTGAGGACTGGTGTGCGGCATTCAACACCTCTGTCCTCAGAGGGTCTGACTCCCATTCCTCTTTAGCTTGCCATCTAACCTGGACCTCTCCCAACCACCTTCACAAGTCGGGGACCTATGTATGGAGAGACACCGTGGAGGTAACACCCAACACCATTTGTGTCTTGGGGCTGAGGAAATGGGTCAGTCAGTTCAGTCAGAGCACTTGCTGCGGACATTGGGACTCGAGTTCAGTTCCCAAGAGTCCACATGTAAAAAGCCAGGCCTGGCCCCATACATGTGCACCTCCAGCATGCCGGGGAGGCGGGGAGGGCGATGGAGACAGGAGGAAGATCTCTAGGCCTTGCGAGCTGCCAGCCGAGCTGAAAAAAAAAAATGGCAAACCCAGATTCAAAGACAGACTCCATGTCCAGAGAACAGAGCAGGGACTGACAGGATACCCACCTCCAACCTCTGGCCTCCATACGTTGTCTCTGCACACAATTGTGGGCACACATACATACACCCCACCCCACAATTTATGTAGTGACCTGGATAGGAGATATATTAGAATCTTGATATTTATTATTTACTGCAGAGATAAGGATTGAACCTAGTGCCTTGTGAGTGCTGAGTAACTTCTGAGCCAAGGAAACCCAGCCTCAACCCAGACACTAATAAATAGTTAAGGAACATTAACTACCACCAGCCACAAACAGTTGTTCATGTAATCTTCAAAAAAAAAAATGTTTAGTGTGCCCCTCTCGAGTGCTGGAAGGGAAATACAGCTATCTATCATCTGAGGCCGGGTAGCTGGCCAGTTCACAGGTATGCTGTCCTATTGAATGTCAAGTGCCCTGTCATCAGACTAGCCAGGGAGAATGTGAGCAGCTAATGAATACAGCTGCAAGATGGTCAGCCTGGCTACAAATGAGAGCAATGCCACCGAAGTCTGATGAAAGAGTCTTTTCTGTTTGTAAAAGCCTGTCAAAGTAGCCACAGTGGAGAAAAATAACACCCAGGATTACAGGCAGTGTGCAGGACACAAAGACCAGAGAGGGGATAGACGAATAATGCCTAAAATCCAATCGGGCAATAAGCATCAAAGACCTCAACTATTTCTAAACATTGTTCACAAAGTGCTCATTAGATACTTGGAAATCTCTCTACACCTAGCGCTGCCATGTATGTATGCCATGTGATTAGGGGGTGCAGGGTAGAAACATTTCAAGGGATACCAGGTGGTGGAGAGGAAGCGGAGGCAGATTCTGGGGAGATATAGCTCTGGACAGAGTGGTGGAAAATGAGAAGGGTCTCAGCATGCTGATGGGCAATACACCAGGAGGGTAGTGAGTGGGAACAGGAAGGGTACATGGGAGCACAGAGCGCATGGATGAGCATTGGTGACAAGTATGGCTGTCTAATGTGGTGGAAGTAGCCACAATGGGGCCACGGAAAGTGCAGCTCCCTGAGCCACGATGCTACTGGGATGGGCTGGACCAGGGACAGGCACATGCGGTGGACCAGGGACTAATCCAGGCTGCTTCTCTGCATTAAACACACACAGGCAAAGCTGTGACTTTAAGAGATTGCCCTATCTAGATTGTGTAAGATTACGCAGGCTGAGTGGAGCCAGGGGGCAGGACACAGGTTGGCATATGACAACAGTGTGTGGGCTGTCCACCAAGAAACACTATGCTCCCTATGAGCACTATGAGCACACCAGGGCAAACCAAGGCTGGCTTCGTTTCACACACAGCAGCTTCTGACCCAAGGATTGCTTTCGTACCAGTCTGCTGATCAAAACAAGGGCTAATAAATGATCAGTCTCCGTTTGCAAGTTATCAGAGCCTGCTATCAATTGCTAATTAAAATTTCAAGATACAAGGAGCTCTGAGAAGGCACTTAAACACAGAGTGAGGACAGTAACAGAGATGTTCTCCTGGCAGGCAATCCAAATGGGGTCACTAATAACCTGATGGACAGGGAACATGGAGTAACTCATGCATATTCATGAACAAAGGCATATTTTTATGAAAAGATCCTGGATGGATGTCAGCAGAGACATGTGATTCAGCTAACTGCCCCCAAACTCAGTGTTCTATCTGTTGATTTATAGTAGTTCTAAGAAGAGCCTTAAAATAACTTTGAAAAGAAGCCTCTGTGACTGGCATTTGGAGATGAGAATAACGAACCAGAGGAGGATAATGGTATTAGCAGCTAACATTTACTAAGTGCATCCTACTCACATTAAACAAGGGGTATGAATTAATTTATAAACCGGTAAGGTCCATACTTTTTATGAGCCTACTTTATAGAGGAGGAAACTGGCTTCAGAATGGGTAAGTAATTATCCAGGGTAGGAAACCAAGTAAGGGTGGAAAGAGCCAAGAAACAGACCTGTCTTGTCTAGTTTAAGAGATGTTAGTAGTAACTGCTACTTCAGACCAAGGCTTAACCCCCTCCTTTTTTTTTAACATTGGGACCCCTTTTCCTCTAAGAAATTTTTCTGTGACCCTGGATATATAGGTATATGCAATAGGTATATAAATCAAAGATATTTTATAATAAAACATAAAAGATATTTTAAACTAATTATTTAGAGTGCATGTAATTTTTCATCTGTTAAAGACGAATGGAAATCTGTAGACTAATGAGGTCAGTGTGGTTTATTTTTACATGAAGACATGATGATATTGGTTGAACATTTGATTCTGCATGATGTAGGACATCTTTAACATTTTTCAAATTTGATCCACATTCAGATTTTATCACCACCAAATGCCAAAAAATGCTGCTTCATATAAATATGTAGCACAAAAAGACAAAAAAAAACCAAAAAGTTTAAGGCCCTTTCAGAAGTCAAAACTCATTGAACTATTTACAGCTGAGAACTCAAATCATGATTTTTAAAATCAAGCATTCTAATAGGGAACAACTCAAAGACAGACTAATTTCATATTTAAATGATGAGGAATGACGGTGAGAAAATATTAAAATATTTTTAAGCAATTTCTATGTTTCTATGAAAGCAAAAAACTTGGCATGCACAGTGAAATCACTAGAATTTGTAACATACGATAGTCTTGCCTCTAAGTTATTTCTAACAGCATTTTTTGGTGCTCCACAGTACAGTAGCATGCACGGTGCAAAATGGGCATGCGTTCAGAATCCCGGCTGCAGTGAAGTTGCTCAGTGCAACACAGGCGAGCAAGCACTGCCAGAAACACATTCGATTCATTGTAGGTTTGATTTTTGAATTAGTCTGTTGCCAGTGAACATTCAGGGAATCTGTGATGAGCTGCAGTGTCTACTGGGGGCAGTGTGTGGGCGGGGTGTGGAGTGTGGCAGTTGTAATGGGGCATGAACAGGGCAGTTCTTTGACTGCTGGGCTGTGCTAATTCCTTCTAGGGAGAGGAGAGCAGAGGTAAGGATCAGCATGCCCCATCAGCCTGCCTGTGAGACTGCTCCAACCCAGTGTCTGTCTTAAGAGACCAGCTGCTTGGGACTCATTTGCAATGGGAGAGACACATAGGATCTGCTTGCTGAAGATGGTGCCTTGGTCAGCCTGAGTGGAAGAAGAAGACTCAATTCCGGTGATTGGATTTCTAAGGCAGCTGTCCTGGCATCCTAAAAGGAGGAGCAAACATTTCCAAGCTAAGAGTTCCAACAATATGAAAGCAGGTCAGGCTGGAGATGAGTGACAGCAGAGAGCATGCCAGCCCAGTCCAAGGCTCCTTTGTGACCTGGGTAGCACTGGTGTACTGATGCTGGTTGGTGTAATGTATTAGACATGGTGTGCTTCCAAGAGGCTTGTACTATAGAAACTTGACCCCCAGCAAAATGGTGGTCACGTGGTAGAACCTCTAAGAGGTGGAGCCTACGTGTTGCCAAAAGTAGTCTCCATTTGATGTAATTGGCATCAACATTCCAATGGTATTATTCATAGAACTAGAAAAAAAAATCTGAGAATTCTCATGGAAGCATACCGCATGGTTCCTAAGAACAGAGTAGGCCTCCGGGTGTGAAAACCGAAGGTGTTAAATGAAAAGAAACACACCATTTTAAATGATGCAGTCACATGACTGATGATTTTCATGTATGCAACAGAGGGTTTACTTACTTCAGTCAATTTAATCTCCGACTTGATCCTACTGAGTATTCCTCCCATATGTGAGAATATAACATATGTTCCTGGGAACCCAGACAAGAGGTTCAGTCCCAAAGGGATTTGCATTGTGTGGACCACATCCTGCTCAAAGCCTCTCAGCTGTTAGTGAGTACCTCTCTGGTGGCATCTGTATTCAACAAAAGGAAGGATCACACCAACAACACAAAACCCTTGGTCCTGTATGAACAGAGATAGTCTCCAAGGCCATCTACAGCCTTCGGTCATCAACACACATTTGAAAAGACAATTGTCACTGAACATTTTCTTTCTATTCTGGTGAGTGCAAATCTCAGCAGTCTCCCCCATTAAAGGAGAGCCAGCAGCTTTACTGGGAACCCATGTCATCCTAGGCCTCTCTGGGGGAGGAATCATTTGCTTAAGATTTTTGAGACTGGGAGGCTCTTTGTTGACAGGAGAGCTGTATGGGCCAGTGTCAGAGACCAGGTTCACCAGCTGCTTCACAGTCACCTCCAACTTCCTTGTGACAGAACTTCACCTCCTCCTCTCCCTCCTCCTCTTCCTCTCCCTCCTCCTCTTCCTCTCCCTCCTCTTCCTCCTCCTCTCCTCTTCCTTCTCCTCATTGTCCCCATCCACACCAGCCATGCAGTGGTTCCCAGCTGTGCTGCTCAGGGGCCAGACAAGTGAACGGCAATAGGATCACAGTCAGACTCTGGAACTCTCTGACCTAGAGACCCTGGAAAAAAGCATCTTCTTCCAAAGACAACTCTAAGGAACCATCTGCTTGGCCCCGTCCAATCCAGAATGACTTGGGGGTGAAAGAAGAAAGACATGCTGACAAGTTGCTGGCGATTTAGTTAATTTCTTGGCCGATTCTCTTTTTCCCCCAACAGAAATACCAGACATGGATTTTATGGACAAATATTCAGAAGCTCTTTATATATTATGACATGTATATGCATGTATGCATGCAGGCATGAATGTGTGTGTGTGTGTGTGTGTGTGTGTGTGTGTGTGTGTGTGTGTGTGTGTGTGTTCTAATAAAGGCCTGAAGTCAGTGTCAAATATCTTCCTCCATTACTTTTTTTTTTTTCTTTTGATACAGGATCTCTCCCTGAACCAGGATTCCATGGACTCAGCTCCACAAGTTGGCCAGCAAGCCCCAGGATCCTCTTCTGGAATTATGGGAGAACACTGCTGTACTCAGTTTTTTACTTAGGTGCTAGCGATCCAAACCCAGGTCCTCTTAGTTGCCATGGAAAGCACTTTACCCACAGAGCCCCTGCCCCCGCCCCCCCCCTTGTTTCTCCACAGCCCCCTTGTTTCTGTCTGTTTGCAGTTGGTCAGAATCTTACACTCACCCTTCAACACTTGATGGAAACTGTGGGGAACAGGTGGATTTACTGATATTCTGGGGCCTTGGCCTCATTAATGCTTGGACCTTAACATGGACTGTATCCTACCAACCACCCACAGTTTCTAAAATGTCATGTTTTGCTCTCTCTAAGGTAGAAACAGAACTTAAAACCCCTTACAGGGCATTCTGGGTATAGGCTCCTAGAATTTCAATTTTTTTTTCTAAGCTTCTCCAGCTGCCTATCCACATTTGAATTTTTTTTTTTTTGTTTTTGTTTTTGTTTTTCGAGACAGGGTTTCTCTGCGTAGCTTTGCACCTTTCCTGGAGCTCACTTGGTAGCCCAGGCTGGCCTCGAACTCACGGAGATCCGCCTGGCTCTGCCTCCCGAGTGCTGGGATTAAAGGCGTGCGCCACCACCGCCCGGCCTAGAATTGTTTTTTTTTTTAACTAAACTTCCATGAGTTGTCTCAAAACACTTCATGTTTGGGTGGATGGGGGACTCCCTGGGGTCTCATGTTTTCATTGGTTTTATAACATCAGATGAAACTGCACTATCACAGTGTAAACATAACCAGCACAACCAGGGTTGGCAGCAAATGTAACCCTTGGTTCACAAAGAGTTCACCTTTAAGAGCAGCAGAACACTGTAAGCACGCACGTACAGGGAAGGGTGCATCAGGCTGCGTGGGTCACAGGCAGACAGCTTTGTTGGTGAACACCTCCTCAAGAGGTGATGTCTGTGTGCACATATCCATGTGGATTCACACACATAGCTGGTTGAGCACCTCTAGCCTCCAAAATCCAAAGTGTGAAATGCTCCAAAATCCAAAACACTTTATACAGTCACAACATACACACTTGGAAAACTCTGAATCATGAAGCTTTCCCTACACACAATTATTAGAAAAATGTGAGATTATAGCTGGGGGGTGTCGTTTAGTTGCTAAACTGCTGGCCTGGTAAGCATTTTGGCATAGGCTGAAGCCCGGGCTTGAACACCAGGAAAGCTAGCGCATGCGTGCAACCCCAGAATTGGGGGAGGTAGAGGAGGAAGGATCAGGTGTACAAGGTCATTAAGTTCAAGACCAGTCTGAGATACATGGGATCTAAACAAAAAAAGGAGGGAAAATCTTGTACAAAACTCCCCTTAGTGTATGCGGATATGCTGCATATAAAAACTGAATGAACTTTAAATGTAGATCTGTCCTATCCTCAGAATATCTTATTATGGATAGGTAGATGTTCCCAAATATGCAACACTCATGGTCCAAAGCATATTGGACAAAAGATGAACAACCTCCACACATATTTTTCAAGATGGTATTGGGTTTTACAGAGAGAGGTAATAATTTTTCTAAGATTATCTGGCAACACCAATATGAAGAAATGCCTTATTTCTCTGTGCACAAGTCACAGGGTTTGGGCAGGAGTCCAGCATGCCAATGTCCCTGTCAACGAACATCTGTGCTCATGCTGCTTGCGTGGTGAGCCTCTCCTTGACATTCTCCTGAAAAACAGGAGCCTGATTGCTAGACTGGACTTCAGGGCCATAGTCAGCAGGCATCCGGTCTAAGAAGGACTTCTCACCTAGTACCATCTGCAGAGGGTGGGGACTTGGGATAGCAATTGTAATGGGACGGCTGTGATCACCGCGGGCTCTCTGGTGGCTTCTAACATCCAACCCCTGTCCGTCTGTCTGTGTACTGGTAAAATACCGAGAAGAAACTCTCAGTAAAACAACCCTTCCAGCAGGATGGCGGCAGCGGAAGGGGATCCACAGAAAACAACAAACTCTAGGACAAGATGAAAAGACTATCTGACGGGTCACACGTGCAGAGCCACAGAAGGTAGGATGTGTAGGATATGGGGAAGGTAATGGCCAGAGGTAACAAGATTGGCTAGTTGGGGGAAGGGTAAAGGACCCACACCACAAGGAGACTCTTTGCTTCTCCATATTTCCCTGCAACAGCTCACTTGCTACCTACAAGGGTCCTGCCAGTGTTTCTGCAATTCTAGCAGTCATTGGTTATAGCACCCAGCAAAGAAATATTTCCACCAAGAAACAAGTTGTGCTGGGGAGATGGCTCCGTAGGTAAAATGCTTCCTACAAAAGCACCAGGAACCCCACTTCCGTTCCCAGAGCTCATGTAAAAGAAGCTGGTCAGAGTCGGGGGAGGGGGGGATGAGTGGGGCCCTGGGGTTTGCTGGCCAGACAGACTATCCAGAGAATTGGCAACCTCCGGCCAGTGAGGGATCCTGTCTTAAAAACAATGACAAAAACAAAACAAAACAAAAGTGGAGAGTTTCTGGAAAAAGTATTCCCAAGGTAGATTTCTAGCCTCCACAAGTATACACATACACATGCAACATCCTGTGCTTACAGACACACTCCCTTCATATATATGAATGAAAAACAGGGCATTGATGCTCTCAAAATGCCTGCAGATTATAAAATGCCTTTAGATGATCTGTAATTGTGAGGGGGCAATCCACAATTGTTACATGAAAATGGTCTTCCATTTAAGAAGAAGGAAAGGAAGGGGAGAGGATCCCATTGGTTGACAGACACTGGGAAAGCCAGTTTTAGCACAAACATCCTCAGTGGCCCTGGGGACAAATAGGTCACAGGGCTAGTTTCTCTCATGACTCTCTAGCTCACAGCTGTCTATGCATGTGGCTGTGTCTTCTCTCTGTCAACTTTTGTGACAAGTTCTGGAAGGGCATAGCTCTTTGCTGCATGTTCTCAGATTCCACAGCTCTCTGAGAACAGGTAAGGAAGGAAGGGATATGGGTTGTCTGGGCAGGGTCTTTACTGCTTCTTCCTTAAGTCCCCCAGGAAAGACCCAGGACAACTAATGATGGTTTCGTGTTGGTTCACTCAACAATGACAAGGGAAGAGACAACCCCCTGTGGTAGACCTAACAGACCATTCTAGGCTTAGTTCATGACTGTACACAAATGCTTTCATGGGAATGAGGAAGCTGTCCGTGGTCACTGTGTACAAATCAAGACAGCACCGGCCAGCTCCCATGCCCTTGTCCCCAGGTGAGGAACACATACCGGGTGGTGCCCCTCTCCTTGACTTGGCTTTGGTTGGCCTTGATAGGTGTTGGCAATTTCACTCTGGGCTCTCACGGAGCCATCAATAGTGCCATGTTGATCTGATAAAGAATTTTTCACCATTTCAGGTGTGACACAAATGAGCAAGAAAATGGATAATCCATTCGAACTGACACATGTAACCCAGATATTCGTTCTCTAGCCCACTGGGCTGTCTGAACTACCATCATTACTTAGCCAACCGGGCATTCACTCGCCTCACAGCAGCCTGCTCTAAGAAGACAGAGGCACTTCTGAAGACTGGAAAGATTCCAGAAAATTCTCTCATTTTCATGCACAGCCCAGCCAAACATGGGAAAACTTGCACCTGCCTCAGCTTCCTTGGAGCCCTACACTCTAGAAATAAAAAAAAAAAAGTGTTAACATACAAAAAAAAAAAGAAAGAAAGAAAGAAAACTGCTATTTCTGTCACAGATGAGTGAAATGAGTAAAATCAATTAAGTATTTGCAGAGGGAGCAAGGAGAGAAATAAACATCTTCTTTTCCTCTTCAAAGCCAAGAGAAACAAAGAAGTGTAAACTAGAAAAAGTGTCCAGATTCTGAACTCCTTTTGACTTCGTTTCCTAAAGTCACTGGTCTCACAGATACTGACTACAAATACCTGCTTAGCTGGGAAAATGTACCCTAGGAAACTGCCCTCATGCCCTTTGCTTCTCTACTGGTTATGGGGCTGCCGATCTGTTTTTGTAGCAACATGGAGACTGGGCAGCCCTCAGCTGCTGGTCCCCAGTCACCTACAGTGTGATGATTCACATAGGGTGGGTCAGGTTATCTAAAGAATAGGTTACTGGGGGTCAGAGGGATCCACATCTCAAATGGTGAAAGTGAAACCTCAGAAGTTAGTCTTCCTCAGATTCCTAACAAGGAGTCAACAGTGGGACAGAACTTAAACCCCTCGGCCTCAACAGTGCTGAGGACATCAACCGAACCTTCACTTCTGAGCTAAAGAAGTCGGGTTCGGGCCTCCCATAATGGCCCAAGTCCTCAGGATTTGCCCTGGTACAATTATTACTACTGGATTTTGTCAGCAAGCCCGGGAGGAAGTCTTTTCACTGGGAGCAAATAGCTCGCCAGAGGCTGTTTTTTTTTTTGTTTTGTTTTGTTTTTTTTTGTAAGAACTTACCAAATAATAGCATTAGCTGTCTCCCTGACACATTGTGCCACTGTTCGCTCAACAGCAGTGGCATTTAAAGAGCAGCAAGTCTAGAGCAGAGAGTGGCAGCTCAGGAGGGTGTGGGTTACGTGTGTCCTGGGAGCACCTGTTCCAGCCATGCTACACTTGGCAAAACTGCTCTAAAAACACTGCCATGAAGGTGTTCAAGCAAGGGAGAAGGGAGAACGCCTTGATCATCTTGTAATCCCAGCACATCCTTCTGAGTCATCCCAAAGAGTGGATACCAAGGAAGAGGTTCTTACCCCCTTCCCCTGGGCCACTGCACATCAATGCTCTCAACTTGGGCCCTTATGAGTATTTAGAACTTGACCTTAAGTCAAAAGAGACAGTAGTAGTTGTGACAGGATGTGACAGAGTTGAGTGGGAGAGGTAGCATGGGAAGAGGAGGAGGCAAAGAGGAGAAGCAGATGACAGATGAAAGCAGGAATTATGGGAAGGTGTGAAGATGAAGGCTGGGGATATGGCTTGATGCATGTGTGGAGCTCTAGGTTCAATCCTAGTGAAGGAAAGGGGTGAGGATGG